GGTGACAGGAGGTCAACATGGCGGCTTCTGAAGAGAATAGTGCATTGTTCCCAATTTTTATTCTGACAATAATGGCACTGCCCCTGGTGCCTTACACAATAATGAAGTTGTGCCGTGCTGCCTCAACGAAAACCAAGACCATCCATTGTAAATGTTCTGAGTGTACCCGTTCGGGGAAGTACCGAAAATCTCTATTCAAGCGGGTTAGTCTCCTGTGGACTCATTTCAGTGTGACATTGTGTTATGAGCTCTTAGATTGGATTCTTTGGTAAGTGATTGTGTTTCTAAATTATTTTTCCTGTCGCAGATTTCAAACTTCTCGACATACAGTAACTTGACGGTGATACTACTTTGGGTCGTCATGATATTCCTAGTTTGTTACATAAAGAACATGAGCCGAGAGGTAACTTTGTGGTTATTTTCTGGTGCCTTAGTTGATTGCAATACCTACTTTAGTTAGTTTGTTGTTTGCGGAGTTAATTATGTCACTTCAGTTGTTTTGCCACATCCACTTGTCCCGGAAACACTTTCTTCTGTTACTTATGATGTATTTGATTCAAACAGGTTCAACCTTTTGATCCATATGCCATACTTGGACTGAAACCTGGAGCCTCAGAGACAGAAATTAAAAAGAGTTACAGGAAGCTTTCTGTTCAATACCATCCTGACAAAAATCCAGATCCAGGTTGGAGGTGTTATATATCATTGGTTATTTGTAATGCCTGATAAATTTGCGGAGTCTTTTCTTCTGCCTTTTGTAAACTCTATTTATCAAATGAATGCCTTAGGTTTCCATTTATTTTCCCGCAGATGCTCACACATACTTTGTGGAGTTCATAACTAAGGCTTATCAAGCACTGACAGATCCAATATCTCGTGAGAACTATGAGAAATATGGCCATCCAGATGGTAGACAGGTGATTGCTTTTGTATCAGGACTGACACTCAGTTACTGACATGTCTGTACTTCTATTTCCAAGCAAAACTGAATAGTTGATTCTTGGCAGGGATTTAAAATGGGAATTGCTCTTCCTCAATTTCTGCTTGACATTGATAGTGCATCTGGTGGAATTCTTCTACTTTGGATCGTTGGTGTTTGTATTCTCTTGCCATTGGTGATAGCCGTTATATATCTTTCAAGGTCTGCGAAATATACTGGGAATTATGTCATGCACCAAACCCTCTCAGCATACTACTATTTCATGAAACCATCACTAGCCCCAAGGTAAATTTTCTTTCAGAGGCTTTGGTTATCCTAAATCTTGGTCATCATGTTAATTCGTTTCAGCAACCAATTAGGCGCATCATAGTGGCTTCTAAAAAGATTGCGAAGAACATACTTCTTTAGTAGTAGGGTACTTCTATTTGGTAGTAATGTAAATATGATGTTAAGTTGCCATGTAATTATCATGCCATATCATACCTTTAGATAGTTTGAGTTGATCCTTCAACAGGAATGAAATTGGCATCCTTTGCTAGATAATGGTTGCTGGTCTGTCATCTATGTTCGCCCAGTTTTGTCACCATCCATGGTCAGTTGATTTCTTCATAAAGTACATTCTGCAGGCTTAGCTATTCCTTTAATTCCTTAGAAATGTGTATTTGTCTGCTTGTAAATGCTGATGATATGCCATTTGGAGAATTTGTGTTTTAGTTAACAGTATTTTTATTTTTCCTAGTTTCCACTTATCTTCTGCAGTAGTGGGTTTGATGGCATATTGGTTTCTCAAACACGATGATGGCATATTGTTGAAGTCTGGAATTATTATCTAACATGGTTGTTCCTTTTCTCCAACTATGTAGCAAAGTGATGGAGGTTTTCACAAAAGCTGCTGAATATATGGAAATTCCTGTTCGGAGAACTGATGATGAGCCTCTTCAGAAGCTCTTTATGTCTGTTAGAAGCGAGTTGAATTTTGACCTCAAGAACATTAAACAAGAACAGGCTAAATTTTGGAAGCAGCACCCTTCTGTTGTTAAGGTATTTTCTTGGAAAGCGTGAATATACTTCTTTGTCTTGTGGTTTTATTATGGTGGCTCTCATCGTTCAATATGCAGACAGAATTGTTGATTCAAGCTCAGTTGACTCGGGAATCAGCAGCCCTGCCCCCAGCATTGCAAGGCGATTTCAAACACGTGCTAGAACTTGCTCCTCGTCTTCTTGAAGAACTGATGAAGGTATTGTTGCATCTATGACATTGAACTAAAGATATTGCACTATCATGGTATACACATTAGTGCAAGCTAGTATGTGGCAATAGGGTTTCTTTGTATGGTGAGCATAGCTGAACCCATTGGTGTCCCTGCATTGGAAAATTGATCATCTTTGAATCTGGGGTTCTATGGTAACTGAACTTGGGAACTAAAAGAGGCTTTCCTGATGTGCTAGCAGAGTAAGCTTAAAAAGCTTAAAGACGACAGAGGGATTTGGGCTTGCATCAGTCTTTGGGACAACTGGTGGCCTGTTTAAACGATCACATGCTAACTATATTGCCTGAGATATATCGCATTTAGATAAGGAAGAAAACTTGTGACCATCTGCGTTCTCCCGTTCAGAAAGATCCCTTAGGATTTTGGGTTTTACTCGGCCAAATTCTGGTCATAAAGAATGACCTCTGAGAAAGATGAAAGTGTGATAAAACTTCTATTTTTTTACTGCTCAGATAACTGATCAGACGGAAACTTCTCATTTATCTTCATCTTGCTATATGACACATCCTTTTATGTTGGAGAAAGGATCCGTTTGCTGCAGACTTTACGTTTCTAATTGTTACTTTTTGTATGCAGATGGCACTTATACCACGCAATGCTCAGATGCACGGATGGTTGAGGCCTGCTATAGGGGTTGTTGAGCTCTCTCAATGCATCACTCAGGTGTGTATAAACATGTTCCTTCATATTAAGTGTTCACTGAGATTTTATTGCCTTTCCCTTCAACTGAAAATATGTTCTCTCTTTGCCTGTCCATTATAAGGAGAGTGTCAAATCTATGATTCTCCCATAATTCCTTCCTCTCTTCAAGGATACATCTCTCTTATACCTGTTTGAGTTGCGATTATGTTCTGTGTTCTTGGCATGCTTTCTTTCTTGAATGAACTGTTCCCAATTTAATATTTCAGTTTCTAATTTTTTCCAGTATTTAAATGTTCATGTTTGGTATTGTTTCACCAATGTAGGCTGTTCCGCTCAGTGCGAGGAAGTCAACAGGAGGTTCGGCCGAGGGGGTTGCTCCGTTTTTGCAGCTGCCACATTTCAGTGACTCTGTTATCAAGAAGATAGCTCGCAAGGTAAATCCAAAACACGATGATCTATTACTCACAAAATAATGATTCAACTATTTTTCGAGTGTTATACCTCCAGCCTTATATTTAAGTTATGAATTGAAAGTACATCCACTCCATTAAGTGTCTTTGTTCTATACTTGCAGAAGGTGAGAACATTCCAGGACTTCTCCGAGATGTCCCCAGAAGACCGAGCAGAGCTTCTCACTCAAGCAGCAGGATTCAACTCATCGGAGGTGCATGATTTGGAAACCGTACTTTCAATGATGCCATCCGTAACAACCGAAGTCAGATGTGAGACAGAAGGCGAAGAGGGCATACAAGAGGGTGACATCGTCACAGTCCAAGCCTGGATCACCGTGAGACGACCCAATGGCCTCCCTGTCGGACTCCCACATTCTCCATACTACCCTTTCCACAAGGAAGAGAACTACTGGTTCCTCCTCGCAGACCCTGTCTCAAACAACGTGTGGTTCTCCCAGAAGGTGAACTTCATGGACGAGGCAGCTGCCATCACTGGCGCTTCCAAGGCCATTGAAGACACGATGGAGGGATCAGGAGCGAGCGTGAAGGAGATCAGTACAGCTGTCAGGGAAGCGGTAGAGAAGGTCCGGAGCGGGTCCCGCCTGGTGATGGGGAAATTCCCTGCCCCGGCAGAGGGGAACTATAATTTGACTTGCTTCTGCATGTGCGACGCTTGGATAGGGTGTGACAAGAAGACGAGCTTGAAGGTCAAGATTCTGAAGCGGACCAGGGCTGGCACACGTGGTGGGTTCGCGAGCGAGGATGGACCTGTTGCCGAGGATGGGATCGAGGAGGAAGAGGAGAACGAGGAAGAGGAGTACGATGATGATTACGAGAGCGAGTACAGCGAGGATGAGGAAGAAGAGAAGGATACAAAGAGGAAAGGTGGGGCGAATGGGACTGTCCATAGAAAGGAGTCGAGTTCTGAGGATGAGGGTGAAGATGAAAAGTGAAGGAAAAGGAACAGTTTTGTGGGGGGTTTTGGGTCAACAAGGGAAAAGAGGCTTGTGGATTAGACCTGAGTATTTCGTGGAAAATTTGATCGTAGCTTCGTTGCTTTAGTAGAATTGAATGTAGTTTGGGGAAAGGTTAAGTTTACACTTAACAGCCATCATAGTTAGACTACAGTTACAGTTATTTGTCTCCAGACTCATGAATACAGTTTTAGTGCTTCTTAGTCAAGATTAGGGTTCTTTCAGTTGTAACCAGCCAATGCTGCTGACAAGGATTCTGACCGGTTTATTATGTGCGAATCCTCGGCAATCTCACTGCCACCACCCCCTCTCGTAGCTGCAGCGCACTGTCGTCTGTTCTTCCTTGCTGTGCTGCCACCATCCTCTCTCGTAGAAGCGCACTGTTGTCAGTCATCGATCACTATAACCAACATGTATCATGCTGGTCGGATTCATCTCCCCTTACTGGTTTGATGTTGGAAGAACTATTCCACACTATTCGTTCACTTGTGTGAAAAATGACAAGATCGGAGAAGATGGCCAACGAGGATCCTAATTATCTATCACATGCAAGGTGCTTCTAATATTTTAACGATGCAAGGGGGGAGAAACGAATCTTCCATCTTAGTAGTTGGTGGGGTACATATCTGTCAACAAAGTTGCGCTTGTCTCGTTATATGTTGTATATATATATATATGTGTGTTCATCGCCATCCATAATTCATTTTGACAAGAACAGAAAATGAGGAAACTGATGAAGATGAAGAAGAGCACAAAAATTCGCAGTAGAAAGGAAACGAGCAAGGAGGAACCGTCAGCGGCGGAGTTGTGGGATTTGGGGAGCCCGCTGTATGATTCCCACGAAGTGGTGTCGGTCATACATTTGATCGACCGGCACCTGATGGCTCTGCCGTCGTCATTGGGCAACGACGGATCGAAGCGGCTCAGTAGAAAGTTCTCATCGTCAACGTCGGGCCGGATGCAGGCTGTAGTTGTCCCGGCCCCACCTTCTCCAACTCGCTCCACCGGAGGGCGGGATAAAGATTTCATCATTGCCGCCGCTGGAGGTGGTGGTGGTTCTTCTGAAGATTATCAGTTGAAGGTGGGTGGGATGTTGGGTTTCGTGGGCAAGAAGTTAAGGAAAAGAAATGAGAAGAAGAAAAAGAAAATTAGTAGAAGGAGCGGTAAGGAAGGTAAGCAGCAGCTGTTGGCCAAGGGCAAGAAATCAGTAGGGTTAATCATTGCTTGCTTTGGGCGCAAGAAATGCTGATCCTGAGATTAGAATATGTAATTTACGCCGGTTACCGTCGAATTGTCGGGGTTTTTTTTTATAAGATCTAGATCAGCCGACGTGGGTTCAATCCATCTCCATTCTCCAGTTTCTGTATATTGTTCACCTTATTCCCTCTCTATTCCATCTCCATTCTCCACCCACTGAATTTGGAAGTGAACATAATTTCACGTGGAACTCTTTTCTCAAGTTGAAAACAAGAACTTAGAACTGTAATTTGGCATTGACAAATAACTAGCACAGGAACCGGCAGTTGGCCGGGAGAATTTTGCCGAGGAATATGACATATAATAATGTATATAATATTTAAATATTTGAAATGATTGTTTTGTACCTTAGTTATGTATATAACATTTTTAAAGCAATTCAACTATGCATAATGTGTTTACACCTCCATGAAAAGAGGGGAAAATGATATAAGCATTACATATAATTACTGAATGAAAAATAAAATATAACTAATTGTCATTCATTATTTAATTAAATCATATAGTTGAATATTAGAGTTGCTTCTCATAATACATACATAATCAACCTTTAGGATAAAAGAAAATATCTCTCATAGAGTTTAGTATGTCTTTTAAGTTTTTTCCAATAGAGAGCATTTTTTTAACCACACAGTTGGTAATGGATCTGAAGTTGCTTGATTTGAAATATATAAGACATGATGTTAAGTTGTCGCGAATAGTTAGTTGGATAATGCATTGTTTACAAACTTCTCAAATTATCCTCAGATCGCAGAGTGTCTAGTAACAATGTAATAATTTTCATGGAGCAAATATTTTTTTATGAGATAATTCAATAAATAAAAACCTATGAAAATTATATTACATGAAATATATTTTACTCATTATGTTGATGAATGAGTGAGGGTATGAGTAGCATACATTTATTTTAAAAAATAATAAGTTGCAAAGTATCATTTGGGTTGAATGAGATCCCATATTCTCGTTATCGCTAACTCACTTATGTTTATTTTGCAATAGATTGTTCAAAATGTGTCTTAAAACTTTTGTTTCTACCAGTGTAAAAGAATTATATGAACCAAATGATTGTAAAATCGTATCAAAAAAGTTTGTTGTAGAGTATTTTATACTGAAGTCATAATTTAACTGCGGTTCAACCATTTCATACTGCTAAATATCACCTACCAATTTAGCCTATGGTGTGAAGTTTTATGGTCGAACCGCCGATACGTACGATCTATTAATTCAAACTTCAATAGAAACTACTAAAATGTTGACTTTATCAAATACCCCTTAAATCTCAGAAATTGCAATAATCGTATTAAGGGGAAAAAATCATCCAAATGATAATATTGATTTAGGATTTTTTATGCACAAATCGAATATTCAGATTACTCCACAGAAGAGGATGGAAAAGGAAAACTTGGAAACAGAACCAAGAGAGGGGGATACTCCAATTCAGAACAAGAAAGCCAGAGTTCTAAATTTTGAAGAGGACAGAACCCCGACTGAGACTGATCTTAAACAAAACAATATGGTTGGCGAAGTGGCGGACCCTGCTTTAGAGCAGGGCCGCCCAGCCCAATGAGCATCCTCAGTTACAACTGTCGTGGGCTGGGGAGAACCACGACAGTTGCTAGAGTAGCATAACTACTCAAAGACCAAGACCCCAGCATTGTTTTCTTGATGGAAACAAAAAAGAAAGAACATGAATGGGAGGAAACAATAAGAAAGTTGGGATGGACGAAGGGAAAAGTGTTGAGTCAAGAAGCTTGATTCAGCGAATTGAATTTCATGGGACATTTTGCTTTGAATATATGTTATTATGTGGAACTAACAATCTATGCAGAAATATCACAATCAATGATGAGGACAAAAGGAAACAATTCAAAGTGATTGCTTGTCCTCAAAGAAGTTACCATATCAAGCACAAAAGGAAATCAAATCAAGGAGATACTTGCCGCATAAAGGATTGCAAATAAAAGGAAATGAAGGCTCACATCAACTATAAATAGGAGAGTCATTTTCAGGTCAAGATACCTTTTGCAAAATTTCTCTTCTCCCTTGTAATAGCGAAATTGTGTGATCATATTTCGTGGTGTGAATAGCTTGATATCTCGGGGGTTGAGATATTCAAGCTAGGTCGGGTTTTAAGGTAGAAGGGTATTTGTAATTGGGACTAGTGCAAGAGCAAGAGGGGATTCTTGCTTGGGAGTTGCACTAGGTGGATTGCTCTTCAATCAAGTCGAACTAAGAGTGTTGCCTTGATTGATTGAGTGGGTAGCTTAGCTTGGATTTAGCTAAGGGTTGAATAGGTGTGGAGTTGCACCTATTTGGTTCTTGACACGAAGTGTCAAGGTTGTTTCAATTTCATAGGTTAGAGAGTCTTTTATTTTAATAAAAGTTAGAGTCTCTCGTGAGATAGTGGTAACTATCTCCGGGACGTGGATGTAAAGCCATATTGGCCGAACCACGTTAAAATCGCGTGTCCCGACTCATCTCTCTCTATACCTCCTCTAACTTTGTTCTATTCATTAGCGCCAACAAATTAATCACTTCAGGAGAGATTCTTGGCAAGTCCTTTTGGATTGCTCAATCAAGCTAGTGCTAATCTCTCACCATTGAAATCTGAATTAATTTGTGCATTGACTACGTCAAAAGTATCCTTTATTGACCTAGCTTGGTCTAACAAGTGGTATCAGAGCCCGGCTCCCTCAAAAAGATCGAAAGATCTGCGAGGAAACTGAGATCCGATATACCAAGCATGGCTAGTGGGTCATCTACAAATCATGGTTCTAACTCTACTCATATGGAGGGTCTTTCATATGTTAGACCACCATGGTTTGATGGATACAACTATTCCTTTTGGAAAACACGTATGATTGTTTTCTTTAAAGGGATGGGTTTTGACATTTGGAATGTAGTTGAGAATGGTGTGGGTGATATCAAAGATGATCCTAACACATGGTCTAGCGATGATCTAAAAAAGATGGAGTTAGATGCTAAAGCAACGAATGTCTTATATTGTGCGATATGTCCAGATGAATTCAATAAGGTGAACAGGTGCAAGACGGCACATCAGATCTGGAGAACCTTGGAGGTATCACATGAAGGGACAACTGAGGTAAAAGAGTCCAGGATATATCAATTGGTGCATGAATATCAGATGTTCAAAATGCACCCAGGTGAGTCTATCTCTGATATGTATGTGCGGTTTAACTTAATAGTAAGTAGACTTAGTGCGTTAGGAAAAATTTATGATAATGCTGAACTGGTCAGGAAAATTCTTTGGTGTCTACCCAAAGAATGGATGCCTAAGAAAACTGCCATAGAAGAGGCTAAAAATCTATCTACTCTCAGTATTGAAAATTTGATAGGATCTCTAATTAGTCATGAAATTGCCTTAAAAGCTCAAGGTGATGAGAATATTGACAAGAAAAATAGGAATTTAGCATTTAAGGCTTGTGAGAAGAAAGTCTCAAATGATGAAGGATCAGGAGATGATTTCGATCAAGGATTTGCTCTCATTTCAAAAAATTTCAAAAAGTTTTTAAAGTTAGAAAGAAAACAGGGTAGGGGTAGTTCTTTCTATTTCCGTGAGAATAATAGAAATGGTAAGGTAAAATCCTTTGATAATCAAAAGAAGAAAAATAAAGTGGAAAGTGAGTATGAAGACCAAGGTTTACCAAAATGCTACAAATGTGGAAAGAGTGGTCATGTAAGGGCTGAATGTCCCAACAAAGGACAGAGTAGAGAAAAGGCTTATGCAGTGGCTTGGAGTGGATCAGAAGATGAAAGTGAAGATAACGAAAGTGAAATACAAGGCTATATGGCGTTCGCCAATCGTGATGATGGATCCTCTTCGTCAAGATCACATGAAGATGAGACTTCGCAAGTCATTAAGAGAGCAGGAGCAAATGAATGGTATCTAGATAGCGGATGCTCTCACCACATGACGGGAAACAAGAGTCTTTTTTCAGAATTGACTCTTAAAAATGGAGGTAAAGTAACCTTTGGTGATAATGGTAAAGGTAGAATACTTGGAGTTGGTACGATTGGAGAGCCTCCAAATCCTACCTTCACTCAAGTGTTATATGTTGATAGTCTTAAGCACAACTTGTTATCTATTAGTCAATTATGTGGTACAACTAATAGAGTTGTGTTTCAACCTGAGGCATGCCTTATTGAGAGGATCAAAGACAATAAGCTATTATTCCTAGGAGTTAGGAAAAATAATGTCTATGTCATTGACCTTAGTAAAAAGGCTTCATTCAATGAAACCTGCTTTCTCTCTTTAGGTAAGAATAAGCAATTTCAATGGCATCGAAGACTAGGACATGTTAGCATAAAGAGATTGGCTAAATTAGCTAAATTGGGTCTAGTAGATGGTCTTCCTCAATTAAAAGAATCAAAGGATTTCTTTTGTGATGCATGTATACTAGGAAAACAAACTCGAGCATCCTTCAAGAGTATATCTCACTTTACTACTTCTAAACCTTTAGAGCTTCTACACTTAGATCTGTTTGGGCCTACCAATGTGATGAGCTTTGGCGGAAAGTATTACGCCTTTGTCATAGTAGATGACTTTTCTAGATATACATGGGTAATATTTTTGACTCACAAGGATGAAGCTCTTGAGAAATTCAAAATTCTTGTGAAAAATATTCAAAATGAGAAATCCCTTAGTGTTAAAAGCATTAGAAGCGATCATGGAGGAGAGTTTGATTCAGAGAGCTTTGGAAATTTCTGTGATCAACTAGGAATCTCCCATGAGTTTTCAGCTCCTAGGACACCTCAACAAAATGGTGTAGTGGAAAGGAAAAATAGAGCTCTTATAGAGCTAGCTAGAACAATGCTTAGTGACTATAGGCTTCCTAAGTATTTTTGGGCCGAAGCAGTAGCTACCGCCTGTTATGTTCTAAATAGGACATTGATTAGGGCTATCATTGAAAAAACACCTTATGAAATCTGGAAGGATCGGCGGCCAAACATTAGTTATCTTAGACCATTTGG